GCTTCTAGTTGGCTGTCTTGCTGACATCACTCTCCCAGATGACACTGTTTTTGGCTTTTTTATTGTAGGCTATGTCTGTGCCAAGGATCATCCTGAGGTATAAACTTAATGTCTTTCTGAGCCCTTTCCTGGGTATGTGCAGTTACTTTCTAATTTTCCCCATATATACAGTTGTTTTTCAATGTCCTAGTCTTCAATGTCTGGCTCCCAAATGTGAAAAAAAGAGGAGAATGAAGTGGAGGAGGGTGCCAGTCCTTTAAGTTCCCTGGGGAGGGCACATGACAATGGGGGAATGTGTAAAAACCATGACTGCCCATTTCTTGGTCTACACTTTTGGGATCAGAAGCAGCAATCAGAGCTCAGATTCCTGATACTTCAGTCATGTGTTTGTTTTTATGCCCCTGACTACTGTAAGTTGCCTGCAGATTTCTCTAGTAATATGTTCAGGACTACCTGGCAAGGGTGAAAATGTGGGAGATGGGTAGTTGTTACTGTGCTAAGATTTGAAATTGATCAAAATCAACAGCAATTTACCATCCAAACCTTCCCACTGGAAGTTACAAGCCTTAGATAGACTTCAGAGTTTCAAAATAGTTACATCAGACAGATTCTGCCAAAGCAATTGTAGACAGGGGACATGGATTCCTGGTGCTTTTCTCCTCTGCTAACTTGCAGAATCCTCAAAAGAGGTACTTTAAATACAAATCTCCAGCCAGATTTCAAGTTCCTTAATGGCAGAGTCAGTATAGCTTCATACTTGATTTGTATTTTCCAGAGTACTCAGCATAACAGTAGGCTCACAGGAACTTCTTAAGTATCACAAAAACTAATCTATCATTTTGCGAAGCTATAATTTTTTAAAGACCAGCTTTCAAATTTATTTGTTTCCAACAATATGTCTAGCTTTTACTTCTCCTTTAGGACAATCAAGTTATTTCCTTGCAAACTTATTCTCCCACAGGGGTTCTTGTGGAGAACTTTCTTAATCAGGCCTGCTTCCTCTACTTTCCACTTATATAATATAACCCAAGGTTAAAGAAGAGACGGCTGGCTCGGCGCCTGTGGCTCAAGCGGTTAAGGCGCCAGCCACATACACCTAAGGTGGCGGGTTCGAATCCCCAGCCCAGGCCCGCCAAACAACAATGATGGCTGCAACCAAAAAATGGCCAGGCGCTGTGGCGGGCGCCTGTAGTCCCAGCTACTTGGGAGGCTGAGGCAGGAGACTCGCTTGAGCCCAGGAGTTGGAAGTTGCTGTGAGTGTGATGCCATGGCACTCTACCCAGGGGGACAGCTTGAGACTCTGTCTCAAAAAAAAAAAAAAAAAAAAAAGAGACAGTTGAGAAAATACTTTCTCAAAAATAATTTTTAATTTAAAGAGGTGCCCAACAGGTCTCCCTAGCCTCAGTTTTCTGATTCATACTTGGATTCTCTGAAACTTCATCTCTGAATAGAATACATTCCCTTATCCTACCTTTTTTTTTTTTTTTGAGACAGTCTCACTTTGTTACTCTTGGTAGAGTTATGTGGCATCATAACTCACAGCAACCTTATACTCTTGGGCTCAAGCAATTCTTCTGCCTCAGCCTCTCAAGTAGCTTGGACTATAGGCACCTGTCACAACTCCCAGGTGGTTTTTTTTTAGAGATGGAGTCTTGCTCTTGCTCAGGCTGGTCTTGAACTCCTGAGCTCAGGCAATCCACCTGCCTCCACCTCCCAGAGTGCTGGGATTACAGGCGTGAGCCACTGCACTAGGCCAATCCCACTTTTCTTGATTCCCATTCTAGATAAGGGAACAAAAGATCTGAGAGCGTTTGCAGTATTTATAGTAACCTGTCTAAAACATTCTAATTCTAGTAATTCTGAGCATTGAGATAAGAATACAAGATCTGATGGAGCAGAGCTGGGTGTGTCCACAGCGGAAAAAAATTTCCTCTACTGCAGAAGTAAAGAAGGAAGGAAGGGGACCCTGAAATTAGAGGCATTTTGGCATTTGGGAGGCCAACAAATAAGTGGACAGGAACTTGGAAAAAGTTTTTTAACAGAATTTTAGTTTTCACAGATTTTGCTCTCTCAGCATTAGCAATTTCCTTTTAATTGGAATATAATATCCAAATAATATTTTATTTTACCCTTTAGCATGTAAAAGATACAGATGGGCATTTAATCATATATACAAAGCATGCCAAAAATGTATACATATTTTAAGAAAGGAAAAAAACTGTATTAAAATAGTAATACTTGATATATAATGATAATAAAAGATGAATACAAGTCACATTTGACTTCTGCAATGACAAGAAGTCCTCAATGTGGTTACCATCAGTGTCCGCACACTTCTGATAACAGCAAACTCCTGCTTGCGTAACTTTGACAAAGTGTCCACCTGTACCACTGCATTTGCTATTTCCGTTTCTTCCTGAAGTACAGCCAGTGTAACTGGTTTTCTATAGTGTAACTGGTACACCACATCCTTTAAGGTCCCTCATTATTACGCCTCCATTGTGGTTGTTATTTCCACAACCTTCTCAAACAATCACATACCACTTGGAAATAGTCTTTCACTCCTTGAATGAAAACAATGCTTCTGCCATTTTCTTTGACTGTCCTGCCTTTCTTGGGGACACCAGCATTCATTTAACGCCACCTTTTGAGCAAACGTCACACTACAAGTTGCTACCATAATTCAATTCAACTTGGCAAAGTACCTAATACATAGATAACATCATTTAAAATATGAATACATTTTTTTGGGTTCCCCCTCTGTATGTGTGTGTATATATTTATATTTTGCTTGCTTCAACCTTTCACCTTGATGAACAGAATGGTTTACTATCTTTTCAGATCCAAAAATACACATCCATTCAAATTTTATTTATGTAAAAAATTATTTATACAAATTATTTATGTAGAATTTTCCTTCTATATTTCAGATATTTTTCTTAGTCTAGCATCCAGAATTGCAGTTATTAGGTTAAAAGATATAAACATGTATAGTTTTAAAAGGTATAAATATTTTTGTAACTTCTGAAAGAACAATCTGATCTCAAGTTTGAGTTAACATCTCATTTAGTTTTGAAGTGTTATTTCTTTCAGGGAAAAAGTGGAGTAGCTCATTGGAAGACATTGATAATTAGGCCCTTAATATATTGGTGGATAATCAGGTATTTAAACTGGTTGGCCTTTAGAAAAACAGTCTAAATCTGGTTAAGTCCCAGGTCTACTAGACCAGACTCTCAGGGTTTGATTTTCCACTCAGCCACTGCACGGCCTTCACAAGTTACTTAATTGCTCAGTGCCTCAGCTGCCCCATCTATAAAATGATAATCTACATTTCAGGATTTATGCAATTGTGAAAGTTAGGTGAGTTTATACCTTTAAAACACTCTGATTAGTGCCTGGCATGAAGCTAAGTGATCAATGAACACTAAGTGCCTCTAAATTATATTTCAGTATCTCTCCTCTAACTTAATTTAAAAACAATATTAATTTCTTTTCCTTTCTTTTTGAGACAAAAATCTCACTTTGTTGCCCATGGTACAGTGCCTTGGCATCACAGCTCACAGCAACCTCAGACTTATGGGCTCAAGTGATCCTCTTGCCTCAGCCTTCCAAGTAGCTGGGACTATAGGCCCCTGCCACAACAGCCGCCTACTTTTAGACGGGGGTACGCTAGGTCAGGCTGGTCTTGAACTCCTGAGCGCAGGTAATCCACCTGCCTCGGCCTCCCAGAGTGCTAGGATAACAGGTGTGAGCCACTACACCCGGTCTAATAATAACTTTTTTGTGGGGGGGTGGGGGAGACAGAGTCTCATTGTGTCACCCTCGGTAGAGTGCTGTGGCACAGATCACAGCAATCTCAAACACTTGGGCTTAAGCGATTCTCTTGCCTCAGCCTCCTAGGTAGTTGGGACTATAGGCGCCTGGCTATTTTTTTGTTGCAGTTGTCATTGTTTTTTAGCTGGCCTGGGCCAGGTTCAAACTCTCTAGCCTCAGTGCACGTGGCTGGCGCCGTAACCACTATGCTACGGACACCGAGCCAGTAACTTCTTAATGCACATCCTCCTGCAGTATCAATTTTACACAAAAATTCTAGAGAAATTACTTTTACATCAAAGCAAACATAAGTCTAATGCAAATTTTTCATTAACAAAAGACTTCAAAGAAATTACCAAGGGTTGCAACAGGACCCCCAGTATCCACAAACGGCCAATTGTCTTTGTGGAAAGTCTGAGAAACAACCACCTACCACATGGGTATATCATCTTCTAAGCAGTTAAGTATTTTGAACCAAACGGCAGCCTCTGAGACCTCCCACACTGCGGGCGCTGAGACGTCAGCCTCCTTCGGTTTTAGGTACCTACCCCTTCTCACTACAGAAGTACCTGGCTCTCTCCCATCAACCTCATAACAGTTGCCATTTTCCCTATGCATCCTGGCTAAGTATTAAGAATAACAGCAAAATAGGTGGCTCTCTGCCCTCTCATTTTATTATTTTTTTATTAGACTGTACGAACCTTAAGGGCCGAGAAATTCTTTTAACACCTATCTCATTCCCACGTGGGAGTTGGGCAATTGTTGACTAAATTGAGGAAATGCGTTTCGGGAACTGCCTCGTTTGTTATTAAACAGGTCAGCGGAGCTGCTAAACTCAAGGCTCTCCGGCACAGCCAGCTTCCCGCGAGTGGGAGCCTGGGGCAAGGCCCGACGACTCTTGGCCGGGGAAAATGTCTCCAACCCTGGCACCGTTACACTGGCTTCCAAGCAAGCGGCTTGGGAAGATGTTGGCCATCACCTTCTCCTGCTTTATTTTCGAGCCTGAGTTGGTTTTAATCCGAGCCCCGCAGCTATGGATCACAACTGCCCGGACACAGAGGACCAGAGGTGTCCCAGAGAGGACGTCTGTCCGCCTCCCAGTTGTCCAGGCTTCCAACGCCGCGCCGCAGTCAAGCCTCGCGCCCCAGCCCTATGCCGACATCCTTCCCCCGTACCCCATCTCTCACCTCCGGCTGCGGGCAACACCCATGGCGTCCCGGCGACCAGCACCAGGGCTGTCGCGCCCAGGAGGGCGAGCATCGTCCGCAAGCCACCGCAAGCCCCTCCAGTCACATCTTGGGACTTCTCTCGCACTCCGGCGGCATCGCCGGGAACCTCTGCGCTCCGGGCCTCGGCAAAAGCTCGGCGCCTCCCGCGTACACGCCTTGCCGATCTGCGCCCGCCCTGCCTCCGCCCGGCGCCCCCTCCCTTCGGCTAGAGACTGCTCACGCGCAGCCCGCCCCCTCCTTTCCGGAAGGCTCGTCTAATCCGTGGCCTTGACTTTCCCTAGTACGCGGCGCAGGGACAGTGCGCCTGCGCGGCCTCAGGGCACCCCCCCCCCCCATCCTGTGCCTCAGCGCTTCCAGCTGTCTTGGGGTGCGGCTGCGTCAAGGTCAGGTGGTGGCTGTCTCGCTCCTCCCTGCCCCGGTTGCTAGCTGACCCAGGCGCCACGGAATATTGGGAATCCCCAGCGCACTGGGGCCATCCGAGGCTGAAATGAGGAAGCCGCCGGAGCGAGCCAGACCGTTCCCTGTGTGGAGAGACCTGGGGCGCAGCCGACGCCAGGGGGCGCTCGTGTTCGGGGCGACCGGGCGCTTTGGAGGGCTCCGGGACTGGCCGCTGGTGGGCTCCTGCGGTGTTTTTGATCGTCGACCTTTATCAGTAAACTGTGGGAGCTTGTTGCTTAACTGAATATCTTAATAAGAATTATGTGAAAAGACATCGTGAAAATACGCAAAGTAAAATTTAAAGGATGAGAAATGAAATAAGCAAATCCTTAGTTGTTTATTAAAACCACTGAACTACTGTGAAAATAATTCAAAATCTAAGCTGTTGGGACTATATGTTGAGCCTCAAAGAAATGTGATGAGGGACCTGGGTTACATAACATACAGCTGTCACTTTGGCAACTTCGTGTAATCTTGGATTATAGAATAGCCTTTTTTTCCCTTTAACTTCATTGTTTTGTAAATTGTGAAAGACTAAAGGTGGGGGAGTGGAGATCTTTCCCCGAAGTGCGGATTCTCGGATTCTCCTGGTAGATTAATTTCCCTCTTGCTTCTGACAAAGACTTTATGGCTGTCACATGGTCTAAGGTGGAATGTTGAGTACACCTTTCTGACTAAAAAAAGAAAGAAACAAACAAATTAATCAAACCGCAGCAATTCATAAACCAGTCTGTACTGAAAACTTAATCCTGCTAAACTTGTTTCTGACTGTCTGAGCAAGCAAGCCCTTAGGAAGCATATGGGAAAATGAATCTTTGTAAAGAACACAATTGAATGTCTACTTAAACATCATTGTATAATTTATATAGCATGAAATTCACCCCTTTAAAAGGAACAACGATTTTTAGTAAATCAAAACAGTTCTTAGGCCTCATTTAAAAAACCTTTATCACTTCATGATTCAGCAATTTGGGGGGTTGATTCTGAGTGTGTCAGTACTTTGTTTAAAGATGTCATAGCTGGAAAAATACCCCAGGAAGATACATGGACACAAATGGAAGAAAATTCCTGGTTGTACTAAGTCATGATCATTTTAAAAGCCTTTCCAAAGACTCTTGGCTTGTTTTTATTAAAATTTCCTTTTCCTGTTTGCTCTTGCAAACTAGTTGTAATAGGATGCATTTTTATATTTAGAATGATGAGCTCAAATGACCAAAACATTTCATCTGAAGGATTTTTAAACACATTACCAATCCCCTCTCCCCCATTTTCCTTAGTGGGCAGCTAGGGTATTTATAGATGCACACAATGTTTTTTATGGGGAAAAAATTCAAATGGAAATAGGTGCACATATATTTTAAAATGCAAGAATTTCTTTTGATTGTCTCTTTTTCACTATAAAGGCAGTTTTGAGGGATTTAGTGGTATATTTTGTTGTGTTTTGTTATTTATTTATTTTAGACAGTTTCACTTTGTCACCTTTGGTAGAGTGCTGTGGCATCATAGCTCAAACTCTTGGGCTCAAGTGATTCTCTTGCCTTAGCTTCCCAAGTAGCTGAGACGACAGGGGCCCACCAAAACGCCCAGCTTTTTTTTAGACATGCAGTCTTGCTTTTGTTCAGGCTGGTCTGGAATCTGTGAGTTCAGGCAATCCACTGGCCGTGGCCTAAAGTAGGGTAAGGGGAATGCTAGGATTATAGGTGTGAGTCACTGCCCCCAGCCTTTATTTTGCTTTTTTAATGTCTGCTAAATAAGCATGCTTATGTGAGCCAGTTGTTGAAGAAAAAAATCGATAAATATCTGCAAAAAATTACATAATTGGCTCGGCGCCTATAGCTCAACCGGCTAAGGCGCCAGCCATGTACACCTAAGGTGACGGGTTCGAATCCCCAGCCCGGACCTGCCAAACAACAATGACGGCTGCAACCTGCCTGTGGTCCCAGCTACTTGGGAGGCGGAGGCAGGAGACTCGCTTGAGCCCAGGAGTTGGAGGTTGCTGTGAACTGTAATGCCACGGCACTCTACCCAGGGGAACAGCTTGAGGCTCTGTCTCAAAAAAAAAAAAAAAAAATTACATAATTGATCTTTAAATTGACAGTATGGTATTTGTACGACACAAAAGATTTTACTGATCTTTCCTATCTATCTAAAGACAGAATTGTATTTTAATAAAATTTACCACAGATGTGACAACCTGTAGCAACTACTTTGTGGACTTTAGTTTCAACTTATTTACTATGATAATTTATCTATGAATGAAGCATGAATTAATTTCCCACATACTGTTAGCTCTGTAACCTTACCTCAGAACCTTCCTTTCTCCCTTCATTCTAGCCAAAATGATACATCAGAGGTTACACTTGTAATTTTTCCATATAGCATTTTTACTTGGAAGTAATTTCAAATCTATAGAAAAGTTGCAAAAATCATAAGGGAATTCCTGTACACCCTTAGCCCAGATTCACCAAATTGTTAATATTTTGCCACATTTTCACTCTTGTTAAATACACAAACTCTTGTATATAATTTATTTATTTTCCCGGACATCTTTAGCTTTCTTTAATCTGAAGCCATTCCCTGGCCAGTGTCTTTCATGCCATGGACACTCTTAGTTTGCAAATGTATAGGCCAACCATTTATAGAATGCTTGTCATTGTAGGTTTGTCTGATGGTGTCTCCTGATTACATTCAGATTATGCGTACCTGGCTGTAATACTACATAAATCACGTGGTGTCCACAGATACCCCATCTGGAGGGGTATTAAGTTTGTTAGCTCCTTAGTGGCGGTGGTAATTTTGATCACATGTCAAGATGTTATCCAGTCTCCACTGTATAGTTCCTATTTTCTCCGTGGAGTGAATCTGTGTGAAGATACTGAGATCCTGCAAATATCCTATTCTTTTTTTTTTCTAGTTGCACAAAAAAAAAGTATGGAATGCTTCACGAATTTGCTTGTCATCCTTGTGCAGGGGCCATGCTAATCTTCTCTGTATTGTTCCAATTTTAGTATATGTGCTGCCAAAGCAAGCACAAATACCCTATTCTTCATCAAACTTTTTCTTCTAGAGTTAACATCCATTGATCATCCTGGCCTGAGCCATCAGCTAAGATTGTGAAATGGTAACTTTTCAACCTTACCTCTCCCTTCCACTGTAAGTATTAGTTGATATACTTTTTTTTTTTGACAGGGGCTGGGTTTGAACCCGCCACCTCCAGCATATGGGGCCGGCACCCTACCCCTTTGAGCCACTGGTGCCACCCAGTTGATATATGTACGTTTAAAGAGCTTTTCGTGGCTCGGTGCCTATAGCTCAACCGGCTAAGGCGCCAGCCACGTACACCTAAGGTGGCAGGTTCGAATCCCCAGCCCGGACCCGCCAAACAACAATGACGGCTGCAACCAAAAAAAATAGCCGGGCGCTGTGGCGAGCGCCTGTGGTCCCAGCTACTTGGGAGGCGGAGGCAGGAGACTCGCTTGAGCCCAGGAGTTGGAGGTTGCTGTGAGCTGTAATGCCATGGCACGCTACCCAGGGGGACAGCTTGAGGCTCTGTCTCAAAAAAAAAAAAAAGAGCTTTTCGTCTACATCACAAAGTCCCAAAGTTGCAGATACTAGTGTGGAGGTGGAGAGAAGGGAACCCTTTTACAGTGTTGGTGGGACTGCAAACTAATACAGCCCCTTTGGAAAGAAGTATGGAGAATCCTCAAAGAACTCAAATTAGACCTCTCATTTGATCCTGCAATCCCATTACTAGGCATCTTACCCAGAAGAAAAAATCATTTTATCATAAAGACATTTGCACTAGAATGTTCATTGCAGCTTAATTTACTGTCGCCAAAATGTGTCGCCATCAACCCTGGAATGGATTAACAAACTGTAGTACATGTATACAGTGGAATACCTTTCAGCCATAAAAAGATGGAGACTTTGTATCTTTTGTATTAACCTGGATGGAGTTGAAACACATTCGCCTTAATAGAGTATCACAAAAGTGGAAAACCAAATATCCAATGTAACTCCTACGAAGCCAGTAGATGATCTAATACATACCCACATAAGAGAAAAACTCAATTCAATTCAAGTCGGTGGGGGGAGACAGGAGGAGGGAAGGTGATTGCTATGCTCCCACTTAATGGACACAATGTAAGGGTATGTGGCACGCCTTCTGGGTGTGGGACACAACTGCAAGAGGGCAGTGGGACACCACTAACAAACGCATATATTGTAACTGCGTTGTCTGCATCCTTACATTAATCTGAAATTTAGGAAAAGAAAGAGCTTTTCTTTCTTTCCACTTATTATCTGTATGATCTCCTTATTTCATTGGTTATAGTTCTTATTTCATTGGTCATAGTTCATTCCTATCTTTATTTAAAAAGTTTTTATTGGGCCAGGCACAGAGACTCATGCCTGTAATCCCAGCACTCTGGGAGGCCCAGGTGGGTGGATTGCTTGAGCTCAGAAGTTTGACACCAGACAAAGTCAGAGTAAGACCTCATCTCTAAAAATAGCCAGTGGGTGCCTGCAGTCCCAGGTGCTTGGAAGGCTGAGGCAAGAGAATCGCTTGAGCCCAAGAGTTTGAAGTTGCTGTGAGCTGTGACACCACTGCACTCTACTGAGGGCAACAAAGTGAGACTCTTTCTCAAAAAAACAAAAATAAGTTTTTATTTCAATTAGCAAAAAGTTTTTAATTAAAAGAATCCTTTTTTTGGATAAAAGACTCCATTTTAGAGAAGTTTTAAGTTTACAGAAAAATAGAACAGGAAAAAA